CACTGACAAATAGGTCAGCAGAATAGTTCTATGAACATACAGGAGATACAGAGAAAGGGAAATAAATCTGAATTTCTCAAAGAAGCATTGCAAAGCCTGTATCTGAAGCTCTAATAGGAAGAAATACCTATTTAATGATCTTGGGCAGGAATTAGTAAATCACAAATCTAAGACTTGGGAAGAAACCAAGGGATTATTTTTCTCCATAACCTATTGCTGGAATTCTTATAATTTCTCCATTAATTTATCATTAATATATCATTTGAACCATAAGTAACAAGGAAGTTGCTAACACTCACTATATTTTGATCTACTTTATTGTCCCAAGTTTTATAGCGCAACTCAGGAACAGCGGGATTTGTGCACTTATCTGAGACTTAGAGTCTGAGTTCATATTCACTATTTATAACCATGTCTTGGATTCCCATTTCCCTGAGTCAGACTCACTGCTAACACCTGCACTTTTACACTTACCTAGAAGTGTGTTTATTTGATTGTTTATTTGGGGGTCACATCGGGCAGTGTTCAAGGTTTCTCTTGGCTTTCTCTTCAGGGAACACTCCTAGAGGTGTACTGAGGAGCATATGTGGTACTAGGAGTTGAACCACGGTTGGCTGTGTGTGGAAGGCAAGTACCTTAACCTCCGTACTCTCTTCAGCCATTTAAATGGATTTAAAATGTGTAAACAAGTATAACACAAGAATGCTCAATTCCTACATTTAAACAGGATTTAAAAACCACAGATGCTTATGACATATGATGAAGTTTTTAATGAAATCATGTTCTAGAACAATGCTTTTCATTACGAGGTCTGTGGGTTTGGTGGATGTTGGTTCATAGGAGTACACAGGTTGAAAACTTTATAATATAAAAAATAGGAGGGAAAAATTCAAAAATAGCTTCCAAATTAAATTCAAATTAGTCAAAACATTTTTTATTTCAAAAACAAGTGACACTCTTTATGGTTAAAAATAAATATGTTCCTAGAGTTGAGGATGATGGATTAAGAAGCTAGTTCTACTTCTTATACACTATGATATTTTAGGCAAGTTCTATAAGTTCTATATGACTTAGTTTCTGCAACATAAAATACTGTGTATATTAACATCACCAAACATATAAGGCTGTTTTTAATATTGCTTTATACATAATGTGTAACATGTAGTTACATATATAATATATAGATAAGTAGTATGTAGTTTGATATAGATCATTTTCTTAATTATTTATTGACTTTTATGTGAACACAGTCATGGTATAGGCACAAACTGACTGCAAGTGTGCCAGAAGAATCATATACGGGTAATGTTAATGGGAAAGTGCTGAACCTTAGGTCTCTACAATCATCTGAATAAAGTCCAACGACATCACTGTCACTGTCACTGTCCTCCTGTTGTTCATCAATTTTGCTCAAGCGGGCCCAGTAACTTCTCTGTTTTGAGACTTCTTGTCACTGTGTTTGGCATATCGAATACATCATGGGTACCTTGCCAGGCCTTGCCGTGCAGGCAAGATACTCTTGGTAGCTTGCCAGGCTATTCGAGAGGGGTGGAGGAATAGAAGCCGGCTTGGCCGAGCTGGCTGCACACAAGGCAAACACCCTACCACTGTGCTATTGCTCCAGCCCCAACCACATCAAAGTTACATGATATAATTTAGAGATATAATTTAGAGAAAATGTTTCTGATAGACTATAGAAAAAAACCTGGTTCATTTTGATTAAATAGATGACTGACCTACATTAACTAATCCATGCCTCAGCATCTTCAGCCAACTGTACATAGTTCATGGAGACACTACAAGGACACTGTTTAATTACTGACATGTTGGTATTGTGATTCTAATCTAAAGAATTCTGCTGGCAAATAAGAGTTAATAATCAATTATACAGTTCTCTCCTTTACAAAAAGATTTATTTTTTTAATGTAGAAGTACTATTTATTCAAACCACTGATTAGCTGATTGAATTGTGCATGAACTCTACCACCTTACTTTTTTCCCATTTTTAATAATTTTATTTATTGAATCACCATGAGAGCAGTTACAAAGCTTTCGGGTTTAAGTCACGGTCATACAAAGAAACACCTGTACGTCCACCAGTGCCAATTCTCCACCACCAAAAACCCCAGTATGGCCCATCCCACACCCTCCCCCTACCTGTTGGTCAGATGATTTCCACATTACTCTCTCTCTCTACTTTCATCACATTCAATATTTTGACACCAGACCCACCATTATTATTGGGGATTTTACCCCAACACTCAGATCTGCTGAAAAGGCAACAGTAGACAATTTGTTTTCTATTGCTGGTTATGAATAACATATGATGTCACGTGGCTGCAGTACTGGCCATGTGATTTTGAAATTCCGAAATTTTAACAATTAAATCTGGAGGGATTTCTGCCAAAACATGCTGGGTTCCGAGATTTGTTCCTGAGTTTCTTGGATCATGGCCGTTAAGCAGCTTGATCAGAAGCCAGAATGGCCTTTTGTGGGAGGTGACTCGAGGTCTCATGGGGATGGGTATAAAAGGACCGGTTCTACCCCCATCCTGTGAGGCCCTGCATGTCTCATCACTGCGGGCCCAAACCTGACTGTCCAATGGCCTCTGGCAGATGGTGGCCACTGAGCCGCCAAGGGGGAGCAGGAAAAGGGACAGCACTCTTTCCCCTCTGGGGTGGCCCAGCAAAAATAACATACTGCAGATGCATTTCTGCCAAAAGCCTCTAGGTTTCGAAATTTGTTTCTGAGTCTCTGGGATCATGGTTCTTAAGCAGCTTGATCAGGAGCCAGAGAGGCCATTCGTGGGTGATGACTCGGGGTTTGGCTAGGGTCGGGAGGAAAGGGCCGGCTCCACCTCCATCCCGTGAGGCCCTGCGTGTCTCATCACTGCGGGTCCTAATCTGACTGTCCAGTGGCCTCTGGAGGATTATGGCCCCCGGGTCGCCAGGGGGAACAGGCCAAGGCATGAAACCTATTTCCACCTGGGGTGGCCCGGAGCCAGTAACCTACTGCTGGGACTGGATGTATTTCTGCCAAAAGCTGCTGGGTTTCAAGATTTGTTTCTGAGTCTCTGGGATCATGGTAATTAAGCAGCTTGATCAGGAGCCAGAGAGGTCATTTGTGGGCGGCAACTCGGGGTCTCGTTGGGAAGAAAAGGCTGGCTCCAGCCCCATCCTGTGAGGGTCCACGTGTCTCGTCATTGCTGGCCCAAAACTGACTGTCCTGTGGCCTCTATAAGATGATGGCCACCGGGCCTCCAGGGGGTACAGGCCATGGCACAAAACCTATTCCCACTTGGGGTGATCTATTGCCGGTAACCTACTGCAGGGACTGGACACATTTCTGGCAAAAACAGTTGGGTTTCGATATTTGTTTCTGAGTCTCTGGGATCATGGCCATTAAGCAGTTCAATCAGGAACCAGAGAGGCCATGATCCAATTATATAGCTGAGCCAGAGGTGGTTTGTGGTTGTGTCTCCCACATACCTAACTTTTGGCCGTTTACTTTCTTGGTAAATTTTGCCCCAAGTTTTCGGGGTCTGGCCAAAGGCACAACAGCAATTTTGTGGTACCTCGAAGTCTGAAGGCACCATCAGGCTGCTGATGCACTCACCTCACAGGTACAGATTGACCTGCTTGTGGCACCATACCCCCTATAACAAGATGTTTTCTCATTGGTTTGTGGGGGGCAGACATGATGGTGCTCAAGAAACATGCCTAGGACCTCTCTGTTCAGATAACACTCCTGGTGTTGCTTGGGTGAATCAAATGTGGTATTTTTGATAAAACAGTGTGTTACTTGCGAGGTAATCGCCTTATACCCTGATCTATAGGTCTGGCTCTTAAAACTATATAGTTCTAGAATGACCAGGTATAATCCTGCTTTCTCTCTTCCTGTTCTCTTCTTTGTTTTTCTTACAAAAATATTCTATTACATCAATTGGTCATAGTGATTATATTTGCACTTTGAAACTTTATTTACTATCTCACAGCATCCTTTTCAATGATGCAAGTAATCAAATAGAAGGAAAATAAAAATAAACTGAAAGAAGAGCAATTAAATTAGCTAGAACTTTGGTTTAAGGACTTAAAGAGCCCAAAGTGTATTAATCACTTTATATTTCCTTGCTTTTAAGTCTAACCATGCTTCATTCTTAGGTATAGTGAATAAATCTAATGGCCATACATACTGCATTATATCAACAAATTTGAGAACAGTAATACATTGTCTAATACCTAAATATAGATACAATCATAACCTTGCTACATTCCTATTCTAGAGATTGTTCTATCTCTTATGATTTTTATCTCATATTGTTGATTATAGACAATCCTCATTGTTCAATGAGACTAAATCATTTGTCAAGAAAATCTGATTTTCTTAATAGTTGTCAAAACTGATGTATTTCAGAGCCCTTTGTATGAAACAGATTCTAGTCTCTTTATGGTTCTTATCTTAGCGAATTCCATCTCATCCACATATCCACCATATATATACATACATATATATCACAAAATGTGTTTCTCACGACAAAGTCCAATACTTTATAGTGTCTTGTCTAACAATATTGTTTATTGTACTTTCATCAGTACACACTTCATTTATGCTAGTTGTTTAAATAGACTTAGTAAAAAATATTATAGCAAAGAAGACACAATATATGAAGCGAGAAACTTTGTGAATTTCAGACATGCTTATGACATTCTCATTTGTATTAATGGATTCTATCAGAGAGTAAATAATTTTAAAAATACTGCTAAACAGTTGAAGAAAATCAACGTCAAGTTACTTGTGACTTCAGCAGTGAATGGATACTGACCCTGAATACCAACTGAAGCTCACAACGGTAAAGCATAACAAGGTTTGGCTATAGGTCTAATAAGAGGATGTGAAAGTGGTACAAAATTCTATCAAAATTTTGCAGAGTTCTAGAGGCCATATTCATCCCTACATCATAGAATAATGTTTCATCCGGTTTTTATTCCATCAGTACTCACCATTTTTGCAGAGCACAATGGCCAGGTAGTCCTGAGAAGAATTAACATAGAGCAAGAGACTGGGTGACTGGGCTGACATAAAGCTAAATGCAATGCTTTCCTTGGACGGAGCTGCATCTATGTATATTGACGAGGATGAGAGATTTATATTTTTGGTGACAGGATAGGGGTCTTGAAACATGTAAGTTACTGAAGTGCCAACCTCAAAAAGCGCAGAAACTTCTGTAAAACATAAGAAGAGAAAAAACACAATAAAACATTAAGTCAATCATTTGACTTAGTCAATCATTTGACAATCATTAGCCGGAACTATTATAGTCTTTCATGAAACAAGCATTAAATGAGCTTTTTTGAATGAGTTAAGTAATACATTCTCATAGTAAGTTCAAAGTAGAAAGGGTTATTATTCTTATTGGCAAATGCAAAGCAAACCTAGCCAAAGTTAGTACCCTGAACAGTTTTCAAGTTCACAAGGATTTCAGACTTGAATTATGACTTTTAAATTTAATAGAATATCCATTTGCAGAATTACTACCATGTGCTTGGATAATTTATTGAGAAGCGAAAATAATAATAATAATGATAATAATGATGATGATGGTGGTGATGATGGTGATGTTGATGATGATAATGATGATGATAATAAAGTCTCCATGGTCTACATTATATGCAAGCATTGGACTAGAATCTTCTTATATTGAAGACTAAAAACGTGTTTATGTTTTCTGGTGAATCAAGAGGATTCTGAGTGGTGCTATGTTCCTGAGAGTAGGGTATCATGAGAGAGAGCATTATCAGTAATGCTTGTCGTGTTGGGTATAGTGTGAGGATCCATAAAAATATTGAGGAAATTCATAGAAAAAATATAGAGAACCAACTCCTGGAATCATTGTTTTTTTCTTTTAATTTTGAGAACTTGATACTCAATTCCAAATAGTAGCATCGATTTGGAGAGATAGATTTTCATAAGGGAAACAGTATCTATAGTGCATCAAGATAATTCTGTTACCTCGGTAGAGAAAAAGATGAAACCTATAGACTTATGATGTTCAATTAGCAGTAATATGCAAAAAACCCTGAAAGAGCCTTGAATATGGCACTTTAAAAATCTCAGGGCTAGGACAAAGGAGATGTTACTGGTGCCTGCTCGAGGCAATCAACGAACACCAGGATGATCGTGATCGCGATGCAAATAAGTCAACCCTCCCTTTATACTTTTTTTGGTTTGTTATTTTAGTGAACTGAAACCTGATTTGTTTTATTTTATTTATTTTTAAGTGTTTTGTTTATTTATTATTTTGTTTTGTGACCACACCTGGTAGTGTTCAGGGCTTATTCCTGCCTCTGCACTCTGGAAGTACTCATGATATTGTCAGAGGACCATATGGGATGCTGGGGATTGAATTTGGGTCATCTGCATGCAAGACCAGATTCCTACCTGCTGTCCTATCACTCTAAAACAGATAGGATGACAGATAGCTTTTTCCTGTCCTACCCTCCAAAACAGAATTTGTTTTAGTCTTGTTTGATTTCATATTATCTTGGTGATATAAAGCAGGTTAAATGAGACTCATGGAAGCTACATTTTCCTCTGGTTATTGTAATATGCTTATTTGAAATATGACTATTGAATAAATAACATGATGAATATAAATCATTTAGTGAATTAGACATCGCAGATTGAACTCGTAACCACTCCATGTTAGAAATAATTTAATCCAAACCCACTCAACTACCATCATACAATGCTCTTTAGTATTTATCAATCCAAGTACTAAGATATTTCATTATTTCTATCAAGAATTGTCTGCCATTGATTTTTAGTATTATCCTTACTCATTATCAGGACAGAAAGCAAAGTTACCTTTAGAGAAAAATGCAACTTAGATCTGGCAGAAAACCTGTGCCATGAAAACAACATAATCAACATTAACATATATTAGCATGATTAATTTCTCTTCTTTTTTCTGAATGATAAGTGGAAAGTAACTAAATCTCAAAAAAAAAAAAACTCTGATTGAGCCAGTGGCACCTAGAATTTAATCAAATCTGGCCTTTTCTTTCCAATTCTATTGCAAATTTGTTCTACCTTTGTGAAAACTCTAGAACAGCTTGCGGCAGTGCCAAAAAATTAAAGTCTCATCTTTATGCATGTTGCTTATCAGATTGGGAATACTGGTTCATTTTTACTAAAGGATCAGAGAATGTGCTTTGCATTTATCATGCAGGTTATAACATTAGTACTTGTGATTACAAAAATATGCAGCTGAGACTTGTGACAGCAAGGATTCTCATTAACCATTAGCTTGATTCAAACACTTTCCTTGAGTAATTTACCTCAGAGATTTTTGAGATAAATTTTAAGTAACTATCGCCTAGTTAACAGAGTGACTATTATTTTATATTTTTGTGTGTTAAAATGTAAACATAAGCCAGAGAAATCTGTGATGATTAGCATATAATATGGTAACATATGCAAATATATTATATTTCTTTCCCCTTTGTAGGGGACAGGGCAGATTGTGTCATATTTAGGGTATTACTCAGGAACTGCTCCTGTGCTCAGAATTGACCATCTGATGTTCTCATGGAACCACAAGTGGTGTTGGGCATAGAAACTGAGGTTAAATGCATGCTGGCAAACTCCTAAACCTCTGCAATATCTCTCTGTTCTTTCTAGTTTTTATCACTTTGCAAAGGACAGAAAACTAAAACCAATATTTTAAAGTAGCTATGTTCTATCAAATCTCTATTGACTCCTTACCCCTAGCCTAAATTCTAATTATTTATATGTTTAGATATCATCGATGCTAACATAAAATTAAATGTAGAGAAAAATGATTCCCACTATTATCTGTTTCTTATACTTTCATGGGCTGAGCGATAGCACAGTGAGTAGGGTGTTTGTCTTGCACACAGTCAACCGGAGTTCGATTCCTCTGCCCTTCTTGGAGATACCGGCGAACTACTGAGAATATCACTCTCACATGGCAAAGCCTGCCAAGCTCCCAGTGACGTATTCGATATGCCAAAAAAAGTAACAAGAAGTCTCACAATGGAGACGTTACTGGTGCCTGGCTTGAGTAAATAGATGAACAATGGGAGTACAGTGCTAACATGCTATACTTTCATAATCTAATAGCTTAATATATTTGACGATATTTAAGCTCTGATTTCTTTTTTTAATATATTTATATATATATATATTTTTTATTAGTGAAACACCATGAGGTACAGTTTTAGATTTACTATTTTTTGTGCTTGGGTTTCGATTATACAATGATCAGATACCCATCCCTCCACCAGTGCCCATTTTCCACCACCATGGATAATATCTCCCCCACCCCCATCCCCCATCCCCCCCTGCCTCTGTGGCAGGGCAATCCCCTGTGTTCTCTCTCTCCTTTTGGGTGTTGTGGTCTGCAAAAGAGGCATTGAGTGGCAAATATGTTCAGTCCATAGTCCACTTTCGACATGCATCTCCCCTCTTGGGAGGATCCTCCAAACACCCTTTATTTGGTGTTCCCTTCTCTATCTGAGCTGCCCTTTCCTTTAGAATGCCCGACTGGCCACTAAGCTATGGAGTAATCCTCCTGGTGCTGATCTCAGCTATTCTTGGGTATTAATCTCATATTTTGTTACTTTATATCCCCCAGATGAATGCAATCTTTCTATGTCTATCCCTCTCTTTCTGACTCATTTCACTTAGCATGATACTTTCCATATTGTACCACTTGTATGTAAATTTCATGACTTCATCTTTTCTAAGAGCTACATAGTACTCCATTGTGTAGATGTACCAAAGTTTCTTTAACCAGTCATCTGTTCTTGGGCATTCAGGTTTCTTCCAGTTTCTGGCTATTGTAAAGAGTGCTGCAATGAACAAACAAGTGCAGATGTCACTTCGACTACACATTTTTGCCTCTCAGGGATATATTCCCAGGAGTGGTAATGCTGCGTCAAATGGGAGCTCAATTTCTAATTTTTTGAGAATCGTCCATACTGTTTTCCAGAAGGGCTGAACCAGTCGACCTTCCCACCAACAGTGAAGGAGTGTCCCTTTCTCGCCACATCCGCGCCAGCATCAGTTGCTTTTGTTCTTTTGAATGTGGGCCAGTCTCTGAGGTGTGAGATGGTATCTCATTGTGGTTTTGATCTGCATCTCCCTGATGATTAATGATGTAGAGCATTTTCTCATGTGCTTTTTTGCCATTCGGATTTCTTCTTTGAGAAAGTTTCTGTTCATTTCATTGCCCCATTTTTGGATGGCGTTGGATGTTTTCTTCTTGTGGATTTTAACCAGTATTTTGTATATCCTGGATATCAACCCCTTGTCAGATGTGTATTCAGCGAATATCCTTTCCCATTCTGTAGACTGTCTTTGTATTTTGGTCACTGTTTCTTTTGAGGTACAGAAGCTTCTTAGTTTAAGATAGTCCCATTTATCTATCTCTGTTTTCACTTGATTGGCCAGTGGCGTGGAATCTTTGACGATACCATTAGCTTCAATGTCATGGAGGGTTTTGCCAACTTTGTCTTCAATGTACCTTATGGTTTCTGGTCTGATGTTGAGGTCTTTAATCCATTTTGATCTTACTTTTGTACATGGTGTTAGGCAGATTTCTGAGCCCATTTTTTTTGCATGTAGCTGTCCAGTGATGCCAGCACAATTTGTTAAAGAGGCTTTCCTTACTCCACTTCACATTACTTGCACCTTTATCAAAGACTAGATGATCATATGATTGAGGGGAGATGTCAGTATATTCAACCCTGTTCCATTGGTCTGCAGTTCTGCCTTTGTTCCAGTACCATGCTGTTTTAATTATTACTGCTTTGTAGTACAGTTTGAAGTTCGGGAGGTTGATTCCTCCCATTTCCTTTTTCCCAAGAATTGCTTTAGCTATTCGTGGGGGCTTATTGCTCCATATAAATTTCAGAAGTGTTTGCTCCATTTCTTTGAAGAATGTCATGGGTATCCTTATAGGGATTGCATTGAATTTATACAATGCTTTCGGTAGTATTGCCATTTTGACAATGTTAAGTCTCCCGACCCATGAGCAGGGGATATCTTTCCATTTCCTCATGTCCTCTTTTATTTTCTGAAGTTAAGCTCTGATTTCTTTGAACATTAAAACCATTTGGATAAATGAAGAAAATAAATCATTTGAAGGTGATTATTTATTGAATTTCTTCAATAAATAATTATTAAAATAGTGATCATC